TATATATATACATTGATAGTCTTGTGTTTTATTTTTGTGATACTTGCTTGTCTTCAGAGAGGACATTCGGACTGTGAGTGTGATAGCTGCTGGAGAAGTTACGTGCCTGGTAATGGACAGAGAGTGAGTGGATATTTTTTGTTCACAAACTGTAAGTGATTCAGCTGTCACATTACTCTCTGATTTGAAAATGTGCTTTATCTAACGTGAATGTTCATAATTGTCTGTACTACAGCACCTTTAAGGGCATCATTGAAGGCTTGACACCTGATTGCAGTCAAGAGGAGCAACAAAACAATGAACCTGAAGTCTAGTGAGGAGCGTTAAAACACTGTTTCATTTCTATATACAGAAGACCCAGAATAAAAGCTCACCCCTGTTTTCCTTGTAAGCAGCTCAGATGCGGATCCTACCCTCCTGTCTACTTCCACCTTAAGTGATTTCCAGATTATTTGCCCTTTGGGGGTCGGGGAGTTTGGTCACGTAGACCTGGTGAGGGTCAATCTGCAAGCAGCTCGCCCTCGGCGATGTGTCTATAATGTAATGCATTTACTTCTGTTCTCTGTAAGGTGCAACTGAAGAGCAAGACAAAGTGTCCTTTTGCCATGAGGGTCCTCAAGAAGAAGCTGATTGTCAGCAGTGGCCAACGAGAGCACATCCAGAGAGAAAGCCACATCCTAATGGAGACCTGCTGTTCATTTATAGTCAGGTGTGTCCCATACTTAGGTCTAGTAAAATATTGTTGATGCTGAGTAGAAAGATCTAAAGTAATTTTTATTTTCATTGATTACAGGCTGCACAACACCTTTAAAGATGCAGAGCGTCTGTATGTTTTGACAGAAGCTTGTCTTGGTGGAGATTTATCTAATCTACTCAAAGACAAGTAAGTACTTAAGAATAAACGGAATATTTCAGGCCTGTATTTGTAGTCCCACTGTGTTTCCTCACAGTAAAATATTAAATGGCCTGCACCTGATGTCAGCCACTTCTCCAAACTGTTTCAGAGGATATTTGGATGAATGGAGCACCAGGTTCTACACAGCTTGTGTTGTAAAGGCCTTGTCCTTTCTGCACTGTCAAGGTGTCATCTATAGGGACCTCAAGCCTGAACATGTTCTTCTGGATGAGCATGGTTATGCCAAGCTGGTACTACAATCTTAACGTCACGTCTTGTTAAATGAAATGTAGCAGAGGTGAGAGCAAATGTACTCATATCTGTCTCTTGCAGGTTGGCTCCAGGTGTCTAAAGAAGGTTGAGGTGGGTAAGAAAACGTGGACGTTTTGTGGTACGCTGGGCTACATGGCACCTGAAATCATCTCGAGCAAAGGCCACAACATGTGTGCAGACTTGTGGTCGCTGGGTGTTTTTGTGTTTGAACTTCTGAGTGGTAGGTAAGCTTTTCAAATTTTTGGACAAGCCTCCTTTTTTTCCAGCATATTTTTCCGATTGCAGATTGAAGTTATCTTGACGGCCACCTGTTCTCCTCTCCAGGCTCCCATTCAGCCACTCTGACCCCCTGAAAATTCTCACTGCAACAATTCGTGGCATCGATCAGGTCGACTTTCCAAAAACCATCTGCAGAAGTGCCTCCAGTCTCATAAAGAAACTGTGCAGGTGTGAATATGAGCCACTAAGCACAGTGTGAAAGCTTGGACAGATTTTTAAAAAAATTATTGTTATTTAGTGCTTTTTCACACTTTTTCCACCCTCAACACACAAAACCAGACAGAAACAGTGCAAGTGTGCTGTAATACCACCTCCTAAAGATGAGAAACTGATTATTAATTCAGCTTATTTGCTGGTCTGTTCAAGGAGCAATCCCTCAGAGAGACTGGGCAGTCAGAGAAATGGGGCCAGGGACATTCAGAAACACAAGTAAGATGATGGATTTTTGTTTTGGGTACTCTGGAGAGAAACATTGAGGCTCTGCTTGGAAACATGTTGTTATGATGTTCTGTTTTTATTCAGATGGTTTGAAGGATTCAACTGGGACGGACTTTGTGAAAGGACATTAACAGCCCCGGTTATTCCCAAAGTAAGGCAAATTCAATACTGGCTGTTGGTCTTTACAGCTTTTCATGTTAGTCATTTTTTTTTATTTCTGTCTTTTTCAGGTCAAGCATTTTTTGGGAAGCGGTTCATTTGGCCTTTATACCGAGGACTCGGTGGAGCCGTGCACAGACTGGGATGATTTCTGAGGGATTTCTGTGAACCGGAAACAAAATCCTGTCAGACACTACTTCAGGTTTTGTCTCCATGAATAATTGACTACCCACAGACTTACTGCCATTACGAATTCATTACAGTTTAAGACAAAAAATATTTTCCGCTGTAACACTTGATGCAGCTTTTGTTTGATAAGTGATCCATACTGCCCGCTGCGCTAAGCCAAGACTGTTTTTTCTGTGTATCTGCATAAAACCTTTACACATTTCCAAACATAGCCTATAACTGGAGTCAAATCGAATCCAATAAACAATAAATAAACAGATTCATTAATCAAATGAGCTGTGTCTTTCTATTCTTTCCTTTTAAACTTTGATTCATGAGATTCACTTTGTCAATGGTAGGCTGGGGGGCTGGGGGGACTGCACAATCACTTTTGATCCCTCCCTCAAATGCATGAATGCAATTAAGAAGTTACGTCAGTGTGGGCCCAGTCTTGCAGAAAAACGTCAAGGTCCGGATAGAAAGGCAAACACACAGGAAGTTGTGTAACTTTAATACAACTTTAAATTCAGAATGGGCTTTATTGGCCTAATAAGTGCTCGCACACAAGGAATCCGGCTCTATTTGTTTGTTTGTTTTTGTTCTCAGTGGCAACATGACACAGGCAATAGCAACATATATCATATGTATATGTGTAATGGTGCAGTGTGCAAAGATGATGAAATAACTATCTATATATACCCTGCTTTGGTTAAAAATAAAGTGAATCAACTAATTGATATATATATATATATATATATATA